GTTCCGCAGCCGATGGTTCCTCGACCACTCCTCGATCAGATTTCTTCCGTCCAATCGCCTGCCTTCCTTATCCGGCTCTTCCGGATCCTGGATCACTTTCGGCACGAAATGACGCCTACCTCCGCCGAGCACCACCTACGATCGATCGTGATTTCATTGCCGCGTATTTTATCGAGAGACGGATGAAACCGGATTTCGAAGTAATAAACTCGAACATTTGTCAAGCGTTCGAATGGCTGGGTTCGCGGATAACTCGGTGCCACGGAATTAACCTTCGACTTTACGAAAAGTACAGTCAAGGATATCAATTGAACGACTTGATCTACGGAACGGTGGTTCTTCTCCGAGTCCTGAGAATGATTCCCCACGATTGATTTTGTGTATGGAAAATTACTCATGCAAATTATTATGTTTCTAAGTATTTCATTTACAATTTTTTAGTTTGGATAATATCAAATCGATTATTTAATTTGATTCGAACCATTTCAATTTTTTTTTTTTTAATAATTGGATTTTGCTTAGTTTGCTGCTATCTGAAGTTTGCTTCCTATCTTGTACGATGCGTTTCATTCGTTTTTTGGTTATAGCATTATATGCAAAGACTGGGTATTCTCATTATGAACTTTATAGAAATCCTGTAATTAATTATAGTTTTAAAAGGGTAGAGAGCAAAGGATTTTTAATATCATCTACGTTAAATTAATTATTACTTCACATACATACGCGTATTAAAGTAAAAGCGAAGTATCGTCGCTTATCCTTGTAACATACTGAATTTTGTTCCAACAATCGGATTTAGATTTAAATTCAGCAAGTTTATCGTTCGTGACAAAATTTCGTTCCACGCTTTTCATTTTCGGACCTTCTATTTTCGAATGTTCTTCTGACGCGCGTGTTTGTGTTCTATCAGAGAACGCGATCCCAAAAGCAATTTTGTAGAATTTCAAAGTCAACCGAAGAGAAATGTTCTTTCGTTCATCCGTGAGATTTTCCATTTCGGTGATTGCAGCTTCTGTTTTTTTTCCAGACAACCCGAAACAGAAAGTCGCATATAAAAAGGATTACGAGTACCCGACCTACGTTACACGTTTTTATGTTTTAACATTATCAATAAGAAGCGCGTACAATATATTTCGAAATATTTTTTCAAAATGTTACTTTACTTTTGGAAGGGATTGTTTACCATATTTTTCATATTAATGCGGACACATTTGATGCAGCAATTGAATAAGGATTATATTTTTCCCTTTTTAAATGAATGGTCCTCTTATGTTTCATTCGAAATGAGATATTTTTTCATTCCGGCGCAATTTTTCTTTCCTTCGCTATTTAAAAGAGTTGCAGTACTCTAATTTACCATAATCCATGCTAATGTTCGTCTACATGTTTTCAAGCCGAGAAAAATAAAAACTTCAAGTCTACATAAAAGTGAACGAGCTATGTTAACACATGGAATATATTAAATTCAAATGCAACTAAAACAAAATTTTCTTTTTTATAAATATACCCACGTATTGCTTATAATCCGGCGAATAATACCTTCCAATCTTTTATAACAAATTTTAAAACGATAATTATCCATACGATTTTATTATTTCAAGGAATGGAAGGCTAGAGCCATCAAGCACGTCCAAATTTTCTTCCCCGAGGCAAGTAATTAAAAAACATGTATGCTAATGAGCTTGAAACATACGAGGCACAAAATTCAGCGTAGCGTACCATTAGGAAACGCAAGTATGCCGGGATGTTGACGTAATAAAGTATTGAATTTTCAGAAGCTGTCGAATTTGCATGAAAATAATTCAAAAGATTTTTACATTCCTTCATCAATAATAATTCGTCAATAATAATCAACTATAGATTCTGCGGATGTTTATACATTTGTGAAAAATTTAAATACACGCAAATATGTTGGACATACATAATATGCAAAAATATACGAAACATCGGAAATAAAATACTCGTAAATATTTCGAATGTGAAACTAATTTATTGGATTTATTTAAATGCGTTTACTAAAAATGCCAAACGTTAACCGAAATAAAACTAACTGAACGTTAAAATAAACAATTATTTTACCTACAGTACAAATTTCACGATTATAAAAGATTATAAAAGATTGGAGGAGGCAAGCGATTAATAAGTTAATATTGAAGAGAAAATAGAAATAAAATTTGTTTGCATACTTCGCACGACCAAGGATTTTACGAAATACATTTCACTCTGTTCTCTGCTATCCGATCGAAGAATCCAGAAACCCGAGTTCGCCGGGGAAGTCATCCCTGCGGACCTTTAATTCCTCTTCTATCTATCCGGCGAACTCTCTCGAGAACTCCGACTAAGCAGACTTTAACGAGCAGGAAGTTTTGCATACAAGTTCCGCATAAAAGCGTTGGCCGATCTCTCGAACGAACCTTTTTTCCCCGGTTACGCCACTGCGGAAACGTCATTCGGGCTCCTCCTGGACCGATTGACCTGCCGAAATTTTCAACTTCCGCTGATTGAACCAGCGCGATCCGCGACCTTCTGCGAGAGTATCGCGAGACTCGCTCGTTACATCGATCGTTGCAACGCCGTGAACTTTTCACTATTCGATCAAAATTTCCAGCACTGGATGAAACGAGAAACTGCTAGAATTAACCGAATACAGTGGTACACCTTTCGAACTGAAATACGTTTATCGTTCTTTAATTATTCTGCACGTTACGTGGTATTTTATTTTACGAAATATATTTTCATAATTCAACGGAATCTTGTTAGAAGCTGCGTCGCTCGTATAGGTACATTATTGTACTTGCTAAATAAAATTGTTTTATTGTACTTTGACTGCTCATCGAGTTAAGTTATGTTCTCCTCTTCTAATCACATTTTCAGTTTCTACGTCAAGTTTCTAACAAAGGAGTAACTCGCACGTGATAATCTCATTCTCGGTATTACTCGTGCAAGTGTACACGAATTCGAAGATATGCAAAATTTGAGGGAATTCAATTTTCAAAGGGAATTCAAAGTTATCGCACAACACGCAAATTGTTGCTGTTTAAAAATTATCTTTGTGTTACAGTTAACTTTACAAAATATTTTTAGGTAGATAAAATTGTTCTGAAAAATCCGTTAGAAATCTTCGCCGAACCTCTGATTCTTATTTGAAAAGAATTAGCGTCACGAATGAAACGCAGCGTTAACTTCTGAAAAAGGTTTGCTTCTCGAAATCAAACGACGAATTTGTACATTCTGGTTCGAGCGGTGGGAGAATTTGTCACCGAGTTATTCTGCTGCCTAGAAATCAGTTTCTGGATTGGCTAGGTGCACTTGTGCGATTCGATAAGTTTTACCCTTTTTTTCCACAGGGATGTTACATCGGAAGGACGCGTCGTGTAAAGCGTCGTCGATAAATCGCGGGATGGAAAGTCCGCGTTGTCGGTTTCGAAATCTCTTTTCCCGCAACGATAGCCGCTTTAATCTGGGATTTTTAGCGTTTCTTCCCTCTGTCGAATATTTCGAAGCGCAGAGTAGTTCGTGCACCGACGGGCGAATACAGGAAATTGTTTACCGACATATATTTCCAGCCGGCGCATTCTAAACCGATATAATGCAAGATATTAAAAATTTTCAGGTTACTGATTCGCGTACCGCGCCTGCTTTCAATAAGGATAATCAGGATTTTTGTCCGTAAAATGGAGCCCTCGTATTTCGACAGCGAGCATTACGTTAATGAATTAATTCCTTTCAATTCCGCATCCACGTGCAAAAAATTTACAAAAAATCAAATTAAAAATATCGTGTTAATATCAAGGAATACAGGAAAGTAAAATTCGTTCCATTATTTCAATGATTTAAATGTTCGAATTGTGTTAGTATGTTATAACGAGCATGTAATTTGTAAGTTTAATTAAGAGAAACGTTTAATCTGATTATATTTTTATCGATGTAGAGAGACTTTTACTTGACGGAAATAATAATTGTTAAATACCATGTTCGGTACGTACACGAGTGCTTTGAATAATTCACCGCGTACATTTAAATACCAACCTCGCGAAACTTTCAATTTCACACTGTTTACTGTTCGTTAATTATTAAATTACGATTAAATGGTAATCGAAGTTAAACGAGTTCGACAACCGATCAAGATACAGAGTATCCGAACGTTTAAGTGTCTTCTCTATTTTTTATGGTATCAGAAATATTTCAAAGCACAATTTGAGTGGTTTCGAAAAAGTAATCACGAAAACGCTAAAAATCACGCAGCGCTCTTCGAAACAAATCGAAATCTTTCCAAAAGTACTCCGAGTTTAATCCTTATCGGTGAAAAGATCCCGGAGCGCCGTGCAAGTTGGGAACGATTACACGTCACGCTCGTCCCATCACCCCTACCTAGGCTCTTTCTATAAAAGAAGGGAAAGAGAGAGAGAGAGAGAGAGAGAGAGAGAGAGAGAGAGAGAGAGAGAGAGAGAGAGAGAGAGAGAGAGAGAGAGAGAGAGAGAGAGAGAGAGAGAGAGAGAGAGAGAGAGAGAGAGAGAGAGAGAGAGAGAGAGAGAGAGAGAGAGAGAGAGAGAGAGAGAGAGAGAGAGAGAGAGAGAGAGAGAGAGAGAGAGAGAGAGAGAGAGAGAGAGAGAGAGAGAGAGAGAGAGAGAGAGAGAGAGAGAGAGAGAGAGAGAGAGAGAGAGAGAGAGAGAGAGAGAGAGAGAGAGAGAGAGAGAGAGAGAGAGAGAGAGAGAGAGAGAGAGAGAGAGAGAGAGAGAGAGAGAGAGAGAGAGAGAGAGAGAGAAAGCGTACGATAGAAATTTCCAGAGAAGCGTTTCTTCGAATCCGAACTGATTCGATCTGTCGAATCACGTCGAATCACGATAGCAAGATGGATTCCACGCGACCAGCGGATCCATCGGGAAATCTTCGCACGTATTCGACCACGAACTACGACAGAGACCATAGAAGAAGAAATGTCGAATCCGGATGAATCAACGAACCAAGCCCGAAGAAACTTTCCAGGTTTAAGTCAAAATATATAATTTCGTACATTGATGTTACGACCGGGTTCGTCCTCGAGCAGCTGACGCGCGATGTCCTTGCAAGAGGTCCGTGCAGCAGGTGGCACCTTGCCATCGTCCTCCCAGTAACGGCTGGCTGCGTGAGCGTAAAGGGCCGCTGGTGTAGCGTGTGTCACCCTCGTGGTCGTAACCAGTCCCGTCGATTTACCTAGAAGCATAGAAAACACCGTTAAAGAGAAATCTTGCCATGTGTTACTCGTTTCGTGCAAATCGTCGCCACCGAATTGTATCGCCACGCTACGGCTCGTTTGCAAAACGCCGCGGTCGACTTGATGTCGTCGCATCTACACACGCTCCCGTTCGTTCCGCTGTGGCAAATTCCTGACGAGAGCTAGTGAGAAACAATTAACGTTCGTAATATTGCACCTTGTGACGTCAAAGCAAGTTTCCATAGGGTGAAGCGGATAGTTCTCGTTGATGTAAGTGTATTTGCATGGGATCGAGTTTAACAGGGATCGAATAAGTTTGACGCAACAACGATTGTTTGTACGAGGAAGTTTGTGTAACGTGGGATTCGCGGCTTTCAAGACTTCTTTAAGTATTACGTTCTAATAATTTATGGTGTTGTATATTCAGGCGCTTTTGTATGTCTTTGTGAGAAGGAGAATTTGGTGTGAATGTTTGGTACAGGTAGTTGAGTTCTCAAGTGTTACAGATACTTGGCAATTAGTAACACTTGCCGTATACGTTTGCTATTCCCATTTCCACGATACCCAAGCACTAAAAGAATTCATTGGACAAGCTTTCTCTAGTAATTAGAATTTCCCTTTGTTACGGGGAAGAAAAATATAGGCAAGGTAACGATTCGATTAGGGAATAGGGAAGAAACAACTAGCAAAAGACATTGGGGCCGACGACTTTTTCGTCGATTCAGGAAAATGTGGTTGCAAATGAATTCCAACGATTCGTCACTGCAGTAGCATTGTCGTGAGCCGCTCTGGATCGTATTTTAATTAAGCGGATATTCGCAGGATCTTCTTAGCGAACTCAACGAAAGTCTCTGGCATTTGCTTCCATTTCGTGCCCCTGCGTACTCATAGGATGGGTTAACGGATTAAGTTGGCACGCGGAGATCTATGTTTCTCGCGGGATTAGCAATTACGTTAAGTGGGCTGACGTTGGAACGGATCGAATGTTAATTCGGCCCGAGTACGTCGATACACGGCCCTTCGTCAAAGCTTCGCTCTTGATCCTTTGATCTTGGCATCTGTGTCTTCAATTATGATTTAGCATAATGAATGAAACGATTACTTCTGGAAGCCGATAGTTGCAGTATCCACAGTAAACGAAGAAAAGTTTTCAGACAGCATATCCGATTTAATCTCGGTCGATCGACCGAGTAGAATTTTCCAAAGTCTATGCAAATTGTCGGTGGTTCCTCGATAATTTCTCGTGCAAGAATGTTCGTTCGAGAGAAACCTCGAAGTTCCTCCGCAATCTTGGCCTGATTCATTTTTAAAGGCTTCCCGTTTCGCACTAAACGGAGAAATATTCTTTTTTTTCGAGACCGCGTTCCTTGTTCAGAGAAAATCGAGGGAAGGAAGTTTAAACGCGTGGTAGGATATTAAGTTCGGAGATTGTTTGTGACCGGCGAACGCTGGCAACTTAATTTGTTCGACCCGGACGGTACTTTCGGTTCTTGTTTTTCGTCCTATTTTTTTTCCCTTGTAATTTGAACTTTCCCAAAACGCTACATTCGTTTCTTTCGCCTAAGCAATTTCCGCTTGCCTCTCATTCCATTACCGTGAACTGGCGTGACGTTGGCCAAGCTAGTGGAAAAATGTACGAAACCAGAGGAATTCTGGAGGTATCCTCGTATTTTGAGGGTGACCCGTTCTTAATCGTTCAAGTCGCCGTACAACAATTATCAGGAAATGAAACGTGGAGCGCGGATCGTTTAAAAGGAACGTTTTGTCTGCTTATCTCTTGCAATTAATGGCACGACGGCGCTACTCGAAAGAAACTGTTAAAACCGTACACCTTTCCCAGCTCTTGCTGTAATTAACGCCGTTGGTAATGAACGTTTTTACCTCGCCAACATTTCCTACTAAATCACCCAAAAATGAAAATATCGAGCAAGGCTCGTTTCAAAATAACAAATTCTCTGTATTTCTTCTACGAATTTCGATCGTGCATTCATTGTCGAAAATTACGAATTCAAGAGAATATCAGGAATCGCGATTGTATACAGATATTTCCCAAGGAGAAAATAGAATTTTCTAAATTACTATTATTAATTAAATTATTTCCTTAATCCCTTGAAAGCATATATGTGATTCCATCTCAGCAACTGTCCTCTTTTTCATTGTTATGTTCTCTTTATCTCTTCGGAATCTACAATCCCAAAGGGAAAGATACGATTCAACGGAGGAAAAAAAAGCATCCAAGCAGCGATACAAGCGTCATTTCTCCCACGTCGAACGTGTTACTCTGGTTGCTGGAAAAGGAGGAAGAAGTATCAAATGCAGAGCGCTTTCGAGGCGGGTATCAGCGACGCGATGGCGATAAGATAAAGCGCAATTTACATATAAACACTGGCAGAGGAACGTTTGTATGCAAATTAAAATAAAGCAACGATGAGATTCCTTCAGGTGGAAATTCCCGTGTACGAGTGGGATACACTGTCGAATATAGGTTTCACTTTCCTTCTAAAGCAAATCTTGCATTTCACGCTAAGCCGGTTGGTAAGAAACAATTTCACAATACGAAAGCGTTTTCGAATATTTGAAATAATAGGGATTTCAAGGATTTGCTAGGCGGTCGACTAAGAACGAAAGCGGTATAACCAGGGAAACAGCTTCGTCGAACATACTTCGACTACCAGAAATGAGTTGCCTCTCTCTGTATTTCGCTCCGGAAACGTATCTTGAATTTTCTGCATTACAACAGATCTCTTGAGAAAGTTGCGTACTGAAAAATATATCGTAACAAATGCGAGTGAAAATACAACAGAAATAAAATGAAAACATACAGAATATTTGTCGATAAAAGTTTCGCAAACAATATTAACGGAGTCTAGTGTGAATCTATATCCATTTATCTATATCAATATATCAGACTTCTTTCAAGTCGACGTCTCGACATGTTCTCAAGATTGCATATTAAAATGTGATGTTAAAAGGTGAAGGGAGAGATTTTTCGTGACCTATATTTTCCTGATACGCGTAAATAGCACTAGCGGAAAGAAGACGTAAATTTAGCGTCTGTTGCTGACTGGCACGTAGAGTAGGTAGAAAGTATATAGATGTAGAAATCCATTGCTGCAAGAAGGAGAGACGTAATAAAGTATGTACAATAGTACAAAAGTACGCCTTTCTTCAAGCGACGATATCTCAGAAGGGAAAAGCTGTATGGGCATAAAACAAAACATATTTTAAAGACGATAATTCTGCTCTTTATACGATATTAAACTTGTTGAAACAACGATTGTACTTGTGAGGTAATGTTGCGCTTGTCGTTAAATTTTTAATTTATATAATTTATCAAAATTCATTTAAACAAATAATAGTTTCATCCTTGATGATGTTTTATCATTATAAGTACTCAAAGAAAGAATGTATATATACACGCTTAAGTGGCAATTACTCACGATTTTATTTTCTTTGCGTCGATATGTTTTGATTAAAAAATATTGCGGCTCTAAAGAACGAACGACGAATTTCTCGCGGCGATTCCTAGCACAATCTCATTTAGAATCACATGACGTATCGAGACTTTCCATTAAGGCCCCTTTCGCTCGATGTTTTTACCGTTTCACGACCTCTTCTTCAACCTCCCTTTTATTCGGGACCCATAAAGAACAATTTCACAGATGGAGCGGCACACTTTCACCTCGAAAGATAATGTCGCAAGAAAACCCGTTGAGAAGATGAAAAGCCACGCGAGGAAAGAAGGCAGGGAGAGTCTTCTACCGAGACTTCTTCGAGAAACCTGAAACGACACGAATAAACCACGAAGAACAGAAACGTCGAGACGTTCGCGATAGACTAAAGTTCGTGGTCGAAGGAAGATCAGCACTCTTTCCAGGTGATAAAATTTGTCTCGATATCCTCGAAATCAAATACGTCGCTCGACCGGCGAGGCGTTGTTCGTTCAATGTCGATGTGCGATAATAGAATGAATTATTGAACAGAGAGGACGCAGGAGTTAGCCAGTCGCCATTAGATAAAGTTCATTCGACGATTGGCTCTCATCACCGGAAACTCGTCGGATGAATTTGCAAATTTCGGCCTAGGAATCTCCGTTTGAATGCCGTGGAACTTCTGCCGCAAAATTTCACCCCTGTCCGTTTGTTCGCGTTACGAATAAAAGTGCCCGCTACTAAAATCGATATTCCATTTAACGAATGCATAATCGATTCAATTAATTTCGCGCTAATTATTTGTCCTGACTTCGGCCCGCTCTTGGATCCGTCAATAAAGCTATTTTCCCTTGCAATTCGTTCTCGCCGCGGTGCCCGAATGCGGGTTAATTAACGAGATATCGATGTCACCGGAAATTTCATTTTTTTTTTGCCAAGCGAGAATCTTGTTGGACAGTATGCGCGATGTTCACGCGTGAAAATTGCCGCCGAAATAGACTTTCGATTCGATGCAATTGGCAAAACGAAGAGTACAATAATTGCGATTGAAAGATAATTCGATTTGAAGGTATAGTCTATAGGAAGCTTGATATATATCCTATTTTAATTCTTTAAGTCCCGATTTACGTTCTTGTGTCTTTTTGGCGCGCGGCTTTTTCTTCGAAGATACATCAAATTCCCATAATTCACCCAAATATAAAATAGCATGAATAACGAATCACTGAAACTTTGTGAAACACTTCACCTCTAAAGTTTCCCATAGTTTGTCGTTCCTTTAGTAAACTTCTCATCAAGTGTCTTTCACTCAAATTCTACGAGCATGCATAATATATCGGTATCAATTCAGAATCAGTGAAAGTGAAACTCGAGTAAAGTTAGACCGGGAAAAGGTAAGGAAGATTGATTGTTAGGTTTTCATGAGCACGGTTTAGGTAACGATATTAAATCAGAGCTATGTTAAGTCCGAGATTCTCGTACATTACCTATCATTCAAAGCATATCTTAGCGAAAGAAATGAATATTCTTTGATTAATTTCTTAAACCGTTAAATCTATCTATCTCTTGTCCTCGACATTTTAAAGATCGTCGAAGATTTATCGGTGATCTCGTAATGATCTCGTAATAACCTCGTTTTCTGGTTTTCGAAATTCTCGATCGGCTCTCTAAACTCTAAATAGTAGATACTGCATAAAAGCTTGGCTGGCTTGTCTTCGTTTGTTTGTATAGTGCCGGCGATATCGTGTATGCGTTAGATGCGATCGAATGTACAAACAATAATTGTAAATTGACAAATTGCGGCGGTAAAGGGGCCAGAAAGCGAGACCGTGTTGTGCTAGCAAGGCGGGGAAGCGTGTCAACGGCAAACGGCACGCGATTAATCAACGAGGCAATTCATCTTAATGATCGAGCTAAGGCAGCTTGCGCTTTCATGCTCGTAACGTAGGCGCAGTCAGACGTACCAGCTCGGCTATATGCGACGTGTTTATTACCGCTCTCGATGTACATGACCGTGTGCAGCCTTGTTACATGGTACATAAGCCCATTGTTTTCGCGGCGGCTGGTT